AAAAAACAAAAGGAAAAGAAAGGCATAGTAGATGACTAAATAAGAAACCTGTGGGCGGGCTGGGGTTGTGGCTCAGTGGTAGAGCACTTGCCTAGCACGTGTGAGGCACTGGGTTTGATCCTCAGCACCACATTAAAAATTAAATAAAGTTAAAAAAAACTTTCAAAAATGATCAAATCATCACAATAAAATTCAGTTGTAATGTACAATCCATGTTTTATTGTGTTGACACCAATGTGAAAGTGGTAGGGAGGCAGCTGAGTCACAGATAGAAAAATCATTGCTTTAGAAGGAAATTTTCTGCTGATTTTCTCTCACACCAGTAGAGTCAGCTTGCTTCCATAAGTCAGTCCTTGTCACATTAGGGAAGGTGGGGAGGTAGCTCAGGAGGGCCAAGGTATTTGCCTCTCCAGGCAGCACATGTCCACAGATTGCCACCAGATGTCATGACCCCATGAAAAATCAAAAAAGGACTCAACTGAATGAAACAGTCCTGCTGTTTCCTGCTGTAGGGGCTGAACCATCTCCAGCAAATGGCTTCTGAGGCTGCTCCATGGATGTCCATTATCAAAAATGTTGCATCTCATGATTGTTGGAGTTTTTTTTTTTTTTTTTTCCCTGAGCATGATACAAAACCCTCAACCTAGAAACATCTCAGGGAATACTGTGGTCCTCAGATGCTCAGTTGAAGTCCTGTCCTAGAATGTTGATCCTGCCTTCTTGGTGGACCTGCTCTCAATCCCACAGGAAGAAAAAGAGAGGTTCACCTGCCCAGTGGTCCAAACCCGAGACCCAGAAGTTGCTCATGTTGTTTCTGCTCTCGCCTGTTAGCCACAGCTGTTTATGGCACACACTCCGGRCTGGGGGGTAGTTCATGGTAGAGCACTTGCCCAGCATGCACAAGACCCTGGGTTCCATCCCAACACCATAAAACACACACGTGTGTGGCACATGCACACACTCAAGGTGAAAGACTGTGTCCAAGAAGAAGAGGAGAAGAGATTCATGGTCAGTGGGCATTCCTGCCACAAACTTTCCTGTCTGCTGCTCATACCAGGCAGGGAGCTCCTTGAAGAGATAAGAGTATCTCTCCATCATGGAGAATCCAGTWCCTGTGCCCACTGTGGACTTGGCTGTGACCAAACACTCAGGAAGCAAACACAGTCAAGAGAGTGACCTGGAAACTTCCAGGAGAGCTGTGCTGGGTACAAGGGAATTCAGCGCATAGGGCAAGCTGTGCAGTAGATTTCAGGAGGAAGGCAGAAGAGCATGATGGTGATGGKAGGAGCCTCTAGATTTGGACAGCACTGATTTTAAACTTTTTACTAACAAAGAAACTAACTGATACTTTCCGAGCCACTGCACCTATCTCTGTAAAAAAAGAATGACTAAATTCACCAGGAGGGGTAATTGTGAGTCATAAATTAAATGTGAAGTAGGTCCCCGACAAATAATGACTGATAGTTTTATTTTGCTAATAGCCCCAAAGAGGTATTTCCATCAATATCAGTGACTAAGGACAGAATATAATTGTTGCAATATGCGGAATCAGGGTCATTCTGCGTGGATTGGGCTGGCAACGAAAAAGCCACACAGACACAGAAAATACCTTTTTCACAGTTCAGGACGGCTTTGCAGAATCAAGAATCAAGAATCAAGCTCCCACGCTGGAGGGCACGGAGAAGCAAGGGAGGCAGGCAAGAGAGAGAGCACACCTGAAACTCCCCTATTTATTGGGGAGAACCCATTCATAGAATATTCCACCCAAATAAGGCAAGGGATTAGTTTTGGAGGGTGGAGTCTTACTTGGTGATGCCTTATGGTCAGCAGATTGACTGACATCTTGGAAAGCCACACCCATCTCAGGTGCTGTGTGGGATCCAAGGCAAAGCAGGCGAAAAGGCTCACCTAAGGTGCACAGCCCAACCAGGCAGCAATGTCAGTCCAGTTCCCTCACAGGCTCAAATGCGCATAGCTCACACACACAGCCCATGGCTGGCTGGTGACATATAATACCAACTGTTATGGTTTAGCTATGAGGTATCCCCCAAAAGCTCATGGGTGAGACAATGCCAGAAAGTTTAGAGGTAAAATGATTGATTACCAGAGCCTTAACCTAATGAGTGGATTAATCCACTGAAATGGATTAACTTTATGATAACTGTAGGCAGGAAGTGTGTGGCTGTAACAGGCAGGTCATCAGGGGTAGGACTTTGGAGGTTATATTTTATCCCTGGTGAGCAGAACTCTCCTTGCTTCCTGATTGCTAAATTCTGAGCTGCTTTCCTCTGCCACACCCTCTGCCATCATATTCTGCCTGACCTCAGGCACAGARCAACGGATTTAGCCATGAATGGACTGAGACCTGTGTGAGGGGAGCCCCMAAATAAACTTTTCTGCCTCTAACTATTCTTGTCAGGTCTTTTGGTCACAGTCATGAAAAAGATAACTAAAACAGCAACTAACATTCATTATACTGTTAGTATAAGGGTTTTTAAAAATTAATTAATTAATTAATTTGGTTTAATTTGTTATACTAGTATAAGGTTTACATAACTTTTTTTGATCCTGTAAGTAGGTGCTATTATTCCCATTTTACAGAGGAAGAAGTTGAGRCATAAGAAAATTAAGCAATAGGCCCAATGTTCCACACCTATTTATAGGGGAGTCAGTCCTAACCCCAGAGCCAACTGATCTATAAGTGGGATGAGAACTACACCACCTGGCCTCATGAAGTTCTTCATGGCAACAGTTGGTCTAAAATGAGTGATAGAACAATGGTGTTACCTGGACTTTTTTGGTGCTACTGGCCAGCTAGATCACCTTGGATCTGTTTCCTTATTTTACATTGAAGATGCTAGACATAATAATTCTTGATTCTGAACAATAGTTCAGGGAGAGGCTTTTGCAAATGAGGTCCAAACCTGCTAATGACATCACAGAGAGGAGAGTTCCAAGAGAAGAGTCAGGCCTTCCTGGAAGCCCAGTGCCACAGTTGACATTAAGCTCAGCTTAGGAGAGAAGAGAAATCCGGGGAGGGAACTGTTGGTTCCAACTCTTTAGCTCTCTTCATTCTCCCATTCCCAGCACAGTTATGGATCAATCCTCAGTGACTGAAAGGATTCAAAATGACTTGGATACCGTATCTCGCCCCCACTCATCATCCCCATACCACCGGCCAGGCCCTAGTGGAGCCCACCATCATGAGACCCATCACCACAGGGGGCCCCACCATCACAGTGGGCTCCGTCATCATGGTGGACCTCACTACCAAGACTCTGAAAATCCCTACTCCTATCCKTTCCACCACCGTGACGAGGCCCACTACCGTGGCAGGGCTCACCACTATTCATCCCCTGGTAAGGGTCTCCCCCATGGCACTGTCCATCCTCAACATTCTTCTGGTGAGGACCACTTAAATGATGAGCATCACTATGGTAGTAGGATGCCTCGTGGTGGTGGCTCCCACATTTCTGGAACCCACCACCGAGGTGGAACCCACTCCCACGGGGAGTCCCACCAGCATACTGATTCCTTCCACCGTGGCGGGCCCCACCACCGTAGCAAGCATCACCATTCTGGTGGGCACCATGGTGAGACCCATCACCTTGGAGAAAATTTATCCCAGTATTCCTCTGCTGCGTTTTACCACCAAGGCGAGCCTCCCCATCATCCCCAAGGTGAGCCTCCCCACCATCCCCAAGGCAAGCCTCCCCACCATCCCCATGGTGGGCCCTACCAACATGGTGAAGACTACCACCATGATGAGGCCCGTCTACATGAACCCCACCACTACAGCAGGCCCTACCATCCTGATTCCCACCACCACCGAAGACATCCTCCTCATGGAGAGAGCTCCTCTTACCGTTCCTCTGAGGGGTCCGGCTTCCGTGGTGTGCATCATCATGGTAGTCACCACCACAGGGAGCACCCTGGTGAGCACCACCCCGGGGAGAACAAGTTGAGCGGACCAGCAACCACAGAGTCCCGCAAGTCCCGCAGCTTGCTGGGCAGCTCCCCGTCTTATACGGCATCCCACTCACCTGGCATAACTCACACCAGAAGCTGGGGGCACAGCGTGACTCAGTCCCATGTCACATTTTACTCATCCCCCTCTCGGAGGTCCAGCAAGGTTCACCCCCGCAGCTCCAAAGACACACAGAGCTGGAGTGAAGATGAGCACTTCCAGAAGCGCAAACGTGAGTCTCTTCTGGTCCTCCCCACCCCAGACCCCACCACACAGCCCAGATTCAGCTGGGTCTGACCTTGCACACATCAGGAAGCTTGCCRTTCACCTGCACCCATTTGTGCCCGCTAGTTCCCCTTCTCACTGTTCRCCATCCGCTCTTTCATTCCCTGCGTTGTGCACCTCTGCAGGCCACGAGGTGTTTCTTCACTTGGTCACTGCTTTGCTCACAGATTTACTTCTCAGATGTTGAACCTCTATTGACTTGCTTAGGTCCTGGGAGAATAAAAARGAAGGATCCAGCATGGCTCCTGCTCTCAAGGGGRATCTCAGACTGAGGGGGTCACTGAGGCCATCAGAGGCTATCCAGTATAGGAGCCTGTTGTCTTCCATATCAGAACCTGTACCTCGGTGGCTTCTGTGTGTCTACTTTCCCCCTACTAACTATGAGCCGCTGAGGRTGGAGACTGGGAACTAGTGCCTGCATGAGGGCCCTGTTGGAGGGTAGGGAGGGACCTTATCTGGTAACTCACAAACTCCCAGATTTGGTTCCTAGTCGTTCAGTAAATATGGCGATAGTCTTACAACAAACAAGCGAAGAGGGATGAGTAACTTACTGGATGGGGGCAAGATAGGCATCCAGGAGGAAGGGAAATTYAAGGATCTCAAAGGGAGAGGGAGGCTCAGCAAGAGGATGAGGTRAGGAGAGTGAGGGTTTCCATGCATAAGCTGCCATGTGGGCAAAGAAAGACGTGAAGATTTAGTGGCAGGAACCCTCAGAATCCACTCAARCCACTCCAAATCCCAAACGGGCTGGCTCCTGGTGTGACGGAAGTCAGGACTTTGGTCAAGACCAGCACAGGACTAGCCTAGAGTGCTGYCGGTGAATGGCAGCAGGCCAACAGGCAGGGTTGATAATGACCCCCAACCAGTCTGGGAGGGGGCATGAGATCCCCACACCCCCTACAGAGATGTAACTTTCTGGCTTCCTTACAGTGGGCCGATCCCCGCGGGCCCACAAGAAGATGCACACTACGGACCTCTTCCAGTGGTTGTGGGATAAATTAAGCTACCTCATTTGGGGCTTCCGGACACTGATCTGGAGGCTGACCCAGTCCCTGGCCTTTGAAACCTTCATCTTCCTCGTCGTCTGCCTCAACACCGTCATGCTTGTAGCCCAGACCTTTGCTGAGGTCGAGATCCGGGGTGGTAAGAACCCAGGGGCCCTGTACCTGTGGAGGAGGTCACCAGGTAGCCACAAGGTGGCGCATCTGCTCTAAATGGGCCTCATCCAGGKCCAGGAAATTTATATAATTTAGTTCACTTGATCCTCTATCCTTTGAATTCAGTGACTTTGGGGTGTTAGAGACAGGCTAAGACAGATACTGCAGAGGTCAGCTGCAAACCCACTGAACAGGAGGCTGTGCTGTTCACAGATGTAGCCACCAGGTGGCACATCTGCTCTAAATATGCTGCTGTGGGTGGACAGGGTGTGGGGAGCCCTGGGAGCAGGAAGTTAAAAGCAGCCTGTGGGAAGCCTGGGGAGGCTGGCCMCGAAAATTACCTGGAGCAGTGAGAAGGAAAGGACCCGCCACATGGTCATTGTCCATCTCTATTCTAAGCACTCGTGAAATGCATTTAATGCCCACGACAATTCTGTCCAGCAGACTGTTATTATCCCCATTTTGCCCACAAAATGAAGGTACAGTGTGGTTAAGTCGCACAGCCATTTAGGGCAGACCCAGGGAGAGCATGGGTATTTGGGCTTGCAGGAGGCCGCTGTGGACAGAGGGAGAGGGAGGAGGCCGGAGGCTGGGGACCGTCCTGATGAGCCCCTGGTGTCCCCACAGAGTGGTACTTCCTAGTCTTGGACTGCATTTTCCTCTGCATCTACGTCATGGAAGCCCTGCTCAAGATCATTGCTCTGGGCCTGGCATACTTTTTCGACTTCTGGAACAATCTGGGTGGGTGGAGAAGGGGCTGCGGCCGGTGGCAAGGCAGCACTGAACTGCCTGGGGGAGGCTAAGGAGGAAGGAGGAGCAGTGAGGCGTTGGCCCAGGGAGGCCACTGCCACTCAGACACCGTCTACCCTCAGACTTCTTCATCATGCTCATGGCCGTGCTGGACTTCGTGCTCATGCAGGTCAACTCCCTCTCCTTCTCCTTCTACAACCACAGCCTCTTCCGGATCCTCAAGGTCTTCAAGAGCATGCGGGCCCTGAGGGCCATTCGAGTACTGCGGAGGCTCAGGTCTGATTGTAGGGACTCTGAAGGAAGAGGGGACACAGGCCTGGGTTCCCAAGGAATCCACTGTGGGGCTGAGRATGTGGCTCAGAGGCAGAGTGTTGCCTGGCAGGCACCAAACCCAGGGTTGAATTTCCAGTCCTACAAAAACAACATCAGAAAACAAACCAAGGAATCCACTGTGACCTGCTCAAATGATGGGGCAAGGGCGGCTGCAGACCCCAGCCTGCTTCCAATAAGCCTCCTCCGGGAGCCATCCCTGGGAGCCAMCTCTTCATTTCCAGGGAAGCAACAGGATTCCCCCAAGTCACCAGCAAATCAGGGACCCTGTGCTTTCAGTACCAGCTCTGGCTACTGCCACTGACCTCCTCCCACCCCCACTGATTCACCTCCCTCTCCATCTCTGCCCACAGCGTCCTGAACAGCCTCCAGGAAGTGACAGGAACCCTGGGCCACTCCTTGCCATCTATCGCGGCCATCCTTACACTCATGTTTACCTGCCTCTGTATCCTGTGCCTGCGGCTGGGRCAGTGCGTGGAGGGGACAGGGCGGCAGGGGTGAAAGCAGGAGGAAGGGCACAGGGGCAGGAAATAGGAGCCTGGTTTGGTCCTAAACAACCAGTCCTCTTCTCTGTGGTCCTGCGGGCACTATTCCACAAATCGGACCCCATGCGCTTCCAGAACATCTTCACCACCATCTTCACCCTCTTCACTCTGCTCACCCTGGATGACTGGTCCCTCATCTACATGGACAGCAGGGCCCGGGGTAGGCAGAGGGCAGGAGATGGGCACACAGACCTTGAGGGCTCAGCTACCCCACCTGTGATTCGGGGCTTCTGAAGCCTGTGGTAGGGGTGCAGCAAGGGTGGGAGGAGACTGCTTGATKGACACTCCTGTCTCCCCCTCCCGCAGGCACCTGGTATATCATCCCCATTCTCATGATTTACATCATCATCCAATACTTCATCTTCCTCAAGTGAGGACCCTGCTCTGCTGCCCAGCCTCACTCCCAAGCTCTCCCAGGAGTCCCCACCCCAGCCCCTCACCCTGGTCATGCCTCTCTTCTGGTGTTCCCCTTGAAAGCACCTCGCTGTCCCCCTCCTCAGCCTGGTGATCGCTGTCCTGGTGGATAACTTCCAGATGGCACTGCTCAGAGGCCTGGAGAAAGTAAAACAGGAGGTGCCACATGGGGCAGATGTCCTGGGAAACATGACGGGGGGCCAGGGTGCTCCAGGGATGGGGGMAGGGGACTCCAGCAGGACTGAGACCTCCTCTCTTCAGAAGGCCGCCCAAATCCATGAGAATCTGCTGGAAGACTCACTGACAGAGCTCAGGCAAACAGGTACTACCTAGCTGCCCAGACCCTGTGCCACCCCGGGGGCATAGGCAGTCTCTATCCACCCTACCTCCTTCCACAGCCGGATCAGAATCACCCTCAATTTTACAGTTTTAGAACCTAATGACATGGAAGGACTTTTGGAGTTTGGTACATTGATTCAAAGACCTCTAGGACAATCTTCTAAAGCAAATTGCATCTATTGTCCATTCTAGGAAGACCCACTTGGAAAACAAATAATAAGCCAAAGTATGATTCACCAAACTCCCATTCCTATTAATAACTTAGGAAGTTCATGAAAGTCACTCTTCCATGGACGGTTTCAACTGCCTTTGTGGGTTTCATTAAGGTTGTATATACTTGTCTGGAGTCTCTTGACCCAGACTCAGCCTACGAAAATAAGTTTCCCTATGTGTTCATTTTTCACACCTCACTTCCTGGATGTATTGATTTTGAGCCCGATGGTTTTCTTCCTGCTGAAAGATCCTCAGAAGTTGATGATGATGATGATGATGATGATTTCTCTTTTTATATCGGAGATCGAACCCGGGGTGCTTTACCAACTGAGCCACATCCCCAGCCATTTTTTGTATTTTATTTTGAGACACGGTCTCCCTAAGTTCCTTAGGGCTTTGCTAAGTTGCTGAGACTGGCCTCAAACTTGTGATCCTCCTCAGAACTTTGAAATCCAAGCTCTAGAATCCCACTCTTAGGATCATTCACAGGGCCACCTCGAGTGGTTTAATTAAAAAGAAGGAAAGAGAGAGAGAGAAGAGAAGAATAGAAGAGAAATTTATTGGCTCCAATGACTTAGCAAGTTGAGGGTTCATGGGCTTTCGAGAATGGTTTGATCTAGCCAGGTGCAGTGGTGCATGCCTGTAATCCCAGCTACTTYAGAGATTGAAGCAGGAGGGTCACAAGTTCAAGGCCAACTTCAGCAATCTAGTGAGGCCCTAAGCAATTTAATGAGATCCTGTCTCAAAATAAAAAAGGGCTGGGGATGTGGCTGCATGGCAAAGTCCTGGGTCAAATTCCCAGTACCAACAAAAAAAAAAAAGAAAGAAAGAAAAGATAAAAAAAAAAAAAAAGAATGTCTTAATCCAGGGCACAAATGATGATCAGAATCTGGTCTTCTATATTTGCTCTGTGGGCATCTGTGTGGGTTTGTTTTTAGAGTGAGTTTTCCCTTGTGATAGCAAAAGGGTCACCAACAAGTATAGTGCCAAGTCCTTACAGTTTAGCCAACCATACCTCTACCAGCAGAAAAGTGATGGTCTTCTGCAAATTCCAACAAAATCCCAGAAATGAGCATGCTTAGTCCCAGTAGAATCATTGCCTAGTTTTGAACCAATCACGTAGCCTGTAACTGGCCGGGCTGCCCTCACGTGTCCTTGGAGCTAACCTCCAGCAAGACAACACRGGCCACACAGGGGTGGGGTGGCTCCACAAGAAAAGTGGAACACTTACCAGAGCTGGGGGTGTAGCTCAGTGGTAGAGCACTTGCCCAGCAYGTGASAGGCCCTGAGTTCYAACCCCAGCACCACAAACACACGTAAGAGGGAATGGAGCGGGATGGGGACRTGCTTTGTGCCTGGAGAAGCAAACTCTTTGGGCATCAGGGATGGAAACACCTTGGGCCCTCTCTGTGAACCTCATGACACTGGCGTTCCTCCTCCCTGCAGATCCAGGCATCTTCCTACTCACCCAAACCACCCTGCCCCACTTTCTCTTCTTCCAGAGCCTGAGGAGACAGTGAGCAAGACCACCCTGTGGAATCAGTTCATCGACCGAAAGTTTGGGGCCATGACTGACAAGTGAGAAGATGAGAAGGGAGGGTGGCCTCAGGTCAAGTGAGGCAGTCTTGGGGCTGGCAGTAGGACTGGAGGGAAAGGGACATTGCCACCTCTGTGCAAGGGAGTGGAACRGGGTTGGGATGTGGAGACCAGGAGTGGCCCCTGGCTGCCTGCACCATGGGACCTTCCTGTAGCAGGGATTCTGCTCCTCTCTTCACTTAAGCACCATTTGGACCCTTGTCAGGGCCAGGMCCACTGAGGGCTCCAGGGACCCAACTCCATTCCTGTCCCTGAAGGCCTCGCCTCTAAGGACTTGTGCTGGGCCCTGGAGGCTGAGCAGACTTCAGCTGGGAGAAGGGATTGTGGGCAGAACAGCTTGGGTAAAGGTCTGCAGCCAGATGATTGATCCTCATCCTGTCCATCTGAGTGACTAGCTGGGCCAGGCCAGCTGAGGACTTGTGACTGGGGACTCTTGCTTGGAAATGGGGTCCTTGGCATAGRCTCCTGCTTCCTGGCTCTCAGACCTGGATTTCCTGAGACCCCTCTGTCTGAAAGCCAGGTGCTGCCCTCCCCTGTCCAGCCTCTGGGCTCCTCTCATCCAAGAGAAAATCCAAGCTTCATGGCCTGCATCCAGGGCCCTGTCTGACCAGTCCTCTGCTAACCTCATATCATTGCAGCCACCAACCCCCAACTGGCAMAACCTTGTTTGCCCACACTCTTTCCCAAGCATGGCACATACTTCTCTACCCATAGGCCTTTGCCTGCCCTGTTCTCTGCCTGGAATGTTCTCTGGATGCTGGTGTCAGGCTCAGTTGAYCAGGAGTTGGGAGAGTTCAGTTCCAATCCTGGCTCCAGTTGTCTCYTGGGGCGCTCTCCTGTTCATCCTTCATGTTCTAGCACCTGACCACTCTGGTCTGGGCTCTTAGCACGTGGAGACACTTTCCTTGGGGATCTCATCCCCATAGGGCCCCTCCCCCAAGAGTGGTTCTTGGTGTAACCTTGGCTTTTCCCCCCTCCTCTGTTCCCCCTTTGATGTTGCTTTGACACTTCTCAAATGCACCTCAACTAACCCACCCCACCCCCTGCAGCAGCTTCCCCTGAAGCCTGCCCTGAGCCCCACAGTTATTGAGATTCAGAGCTCTCTCTGAATGTTCTTGAGATTCAGAGCTCCAGGAGCCCTGCTCCAACCTGGCATACTCCCAACTGTCTTCCAAACTCAGTTCAGTGACAGTCCCTCACCTCTAAGGACAGTCCCTCCTGAAGCCTTTCTAGACCCCCAGCATGGGRGGAGGTTCCCCTCCCTGTGCCCTCAGCACCCCATGTTTACACTTAACCAGAGCAGGTCAGTGTTCTGGCTCTGGGGGCARAGTCTGTTTCTTATTCATCTATGTCCTTGGAGCATCTTACAGTGTTGGCTGTATTTGATGGATAGATTGGTAAGATCCAGTGGGGTGATGAATGGGGTAGAAGGGCTGGTGGGTGAATGGGGGAAGGGGTGGGTGTTTAGGTGGATGGCTTCCCGCACAGTATGGTCAYGGTGTAGGTGGATGGGTGATCTAGGGAGGACCAAGTGAGGGAAGGGTGGGGTAGATGAATGTGGGTGGGTGGTTAAGTGGGTCTATGGAGAGGCTTGGGTTAGATRAGGGAGCATCAGATGGGTAGGTGAGCAATTTAATTCTGGAATTCTCCATGGTGCAGGCARACATGGGGGCTTTTCTAGGTACTGAAAAAGAAACAAAATAGAAAGGAGGTCTTGGGTGATATAAGTTTTGGGGGAAACTGGCAAGAAGAGCCATGTGGGAGCTCTGGGGGCCCAGAAAGAATAGAGGCAGGCCAGCGGAGCCCAGCCCCCCACACCTTGTCCCTTCAGGCAGCGGGAGCTCCAGTTCCAATTCCTGCAGCTGGTGGCTGGGGTGGAATATCAGCAGCAGAAGTTCCGTTCCCAGGCGTCTGTCATTGATGAGATTGTTGACACAGCATTTGAGGTGAGCCAAACAGGACAGGAAATGGGGGACCTAGGGATCTTGCCAGAAGTGGCCCCAGAGTAGTTAGCAGTCACACAAGGCACTGGCTCCTTCATGCTCCCATCCCACAGGCTGGAGAGGAGGACTTCAAGAAGTGACCCTGGAGAGTGCCACCAGATACAGACCTAAGCCTCTGGCAAGCTGCCCACCTGGAGTTGGGTGTTGGGACAAGTCCCCAACTTTGCTACCTTGGTTGTCTGGTCCCTGCAGGAATTGGGCCCCAACAGAATTTTTAAATCCCAGATGATTTTGTGTCTTCTATGGCTGTGCAAAACACAGGGCAAGGGAACTTGTGTGGTGCCCCTGGGGGTGGGATGAAGGGTGTTGTTGGCTATCCTCTCAGCCCAGCAGCGCATTGGCAACAGCCAGAAGAGTGATGCAGAAAGTGGYTTAGGCCCAGGGACTGGTGGTGCTGGTAAGGGACAGAGGGAGCAGTAGCCCACTTAGGGGAGGAAGGCCCATAGGTCAGGATTATCGAGGCCTGGGGGGACCAGTGGGCTCCAGGAATGGGGCYAAGACCCCAGAAATTCATGAGCATCCAGTATAAGGACATCAACCTTGGGGATATTGGGTCTGAGGTCATTGTCATCCACCCTGCCCCCTGCCTGGGTTTAGACTACAGAGCCTCAGTAAGGAGGGTGGAGGAGGCTGCTCAAGTCCTTCTGGCCTCAGGGGAGGTACAGGCAGTAGGTAAGTGGGATGGTCCACACCCTATTTAGCCTGAGTCTGGACAGGGGCTGTGGCCATGGCTGGGCTAGCCTGTGCTACATACTGCAGACCTAGCACTAAATCAAGTTCAAGCCAAGTCTGAACCTTGGGGGTCCCCACCCAGTATTGGGGTCTTCCACTATCTACAACCATCTCAGCCTTAGTGGAGGCCAGTCCAGGGTGCAGCAGTTTTGATAACCACCTCCGGGCTGGACCAGACAGTGGTGGAGCCCCCGTGCCTTAGGACAGAAGCAGCTTCYCCTTCCTAGCCTAGCTGAGACACAGGCTGGCCCAACGTCCAGGAATGGACTGTGCAGAGGAAATGCCATCTAGGTTTGGGCACAAATTCCAGGGATGGAGAAGCCACTAGGCAGTCATCCCTGGGATTTGCCTCACCCCAAGGTMTCACGCATTCATTCATCAAGCATTTTCTGCCACCTACCCTGCATTGGTCCTGTGTTGGAGCCTCCTGCTTGGTGTCACATGGAGCACTTCCAAGCCAGCCACACACACACTAGCTGTCTGGGCTGTCATAACCAGCAGGGTCCAGCAGGAGCAGGGCTGGAAGTCATTCCTCATGTCCCTGTTAAACCCTCAGCTACTCATGTTAGGTGGAACTCARCATCTATTTTGTAACTCTCCATCTTCATCCTTGTGTAGTCCCCTGTGACTGAGCAGCAGGCAAGGAGCTGGCACTGAAGCTCATAACATCCCACCACTAGGTGGGGCCCAGGCAGGAATAGGTGGGGTATAGGGACTTATTTGGAAAGAAGGGCGTGTGGGCAGCAGAGAAGGAATGCMAGAGTCCTCTCCATGCCATCTCTGGGCTTGATCACTGCTGACAWCCAGAACCCCCAAGGCACCAGCTTACTGCCCCTTGTCCTGGGTGTGGGTGCAAATTGGTGCATCAAAGAGAGACTCCCAGGTGGGAATGCAGGGCTCTGGCTAGTGTCTGGGGTCTGTGCGCCCATCTCTAGGCTATCTTGGGGTGCTGCTTCTGTGTTTGCTTTGCTTCTGGGTTGCTAGGTTGTGTTGCTGGGTAGTTGGTTGCTAGGTGGGCGTGGTGTTTTTTTTCAGGGCATGTATATGGTGTCTGGGAACATCTGAGTGTGTCCTGTGGGTTTATGGGTGTGAATATCTGTAGAGTTGAGGGTTGTAGGTGTGAGTGTGTGTGTCTGAGTATGCACTTCAGCCACARATTCAACTATGCAAGAAATGTTGCAACCCTATTTTCTTTAAGTGACATTCAGTCAGAACTATTCCTCATGTGGGCAGCAGGTATGCACTTGCTCCCTCTGGGGCTCCATGTCCAGTGCCWTGTCGTGTTCCTGGYGACAAAAACACTCAGGATCACTCCAGGGGAACTGGGCTGCGYGAAATAACCACACAAGAGCAGAGATACCTTTTTCTTTGGGAGTCCTGTGACGGCTCCTCTGACCTTAAGGGTCCACAGAAAGACAGCCAGCATGTT